GTTTCTTGTCCCAAATTCCTGCTATTACGAAGGACAGGCCCTCCAATAACCTTGCTGCTATTGATGCAAGTCTCCGAAAACCAAAAAAATGCCCAAAATTCCACGCATCAACTCAGGGAGGCCCCAGGCACAAGAAGACTCACAAAGGCCTCCCCCTTCTTGAAAAGCACCTACATATGGGACTCTCTTAAAGTAGTGCAGACTGGATTCCCGAAATGGCACCCGTATGATACTAAAGTCATGGAAACCCGAAAGGGCACCCGTATCATCCTCTTAGAATTCCTACCCCCTGAGGGTTGCGCATATGGTGATCCTCCCATATTGGATCGCTAAGGGTCCGAGGACCCAAATAATATGGTTTTTAGGGCCCGAATACTATAATATTAATGGTGTTCAGGCCCGAGAACTCTGTGATTTGGGTCCTCGGACCCTTAGGGGAGGGTGTCTCCTAAACCCTAGACCCTGAACCTTAAAACATGAACCCTCAGCCCTGAAGTAAAACGGTTTCCGGCAGGCTGCCGTTGCACTGCCAGCGTGCTGCCCTGCATGCCAAGTTCGAGAGCGAAGAGGACCCAATCGGCTTTGACCCCACACTTGCAATGTCCCGTAGGGTTTACGGTTTAGGATTTAGGGTTTAGGATTTAGGATTTAGGGTTTTTCCGTGCTATGTCTCAAGAGAGTACAGTCCCCCACAAGTAGATAGAATATGGGATAGAATATGGGGATCTTAGTAGAGTCATGGTCAAACTATACCTACCTTTTTTAGGAAAAACTTGTCTTATCGATCGGAAGGAATATGGGATATTACCTGGCGACACCTCGTGATTTTTCTACTTAGCTTTAGTTCTAGGTTTGACCAGCAAAAGGCATAGCCAGGTGCGAGCTCAGGGCGCTAAGATACATGTGTATATATATATATGCACGCATATATATATGTATGGCAATAAATCGTAAGGTATAATAATAGTAAAGTAAGAATAAAGGAAGAATAACAATAAGAGCCATAACAATATTAGAGCAATACTAACCAGTTATAGCAAGCACGAATTTCATCCCAAACCAGATTTGGGGTGGTCCACAGTAATCCCCAGGGATCCAAGTATACAAGCAGGGCTTATAAAGGGTTACCAACATGGTTAAGAGTTCAGGGTTTGGGGATTAGGGGTCCAAGTATATAACCCTGAACCCTAAACCCTAGATAATACCTACATTGGGCCCTAAAGTCTGCAACTACCAGCTACATTAGGCTACTTGGATCCCTAGGGACTGGACTCTGAAGGAACTTGGCAAGCCAGGCAGACGGGCCCTCCAGTTCGTAAAGGACCCTAAACCCGAAACACTATAAGCTCTAAAGACCCTAGATCCTAAAGACCGTCAACCCTAAACCGTAATCATCCTGATCCCTAAGCAACCTAAACTCGAAACTTACCTTCGGCTAGCTAGGAATGAGGGAATGGATCCTTCTAGCAGTCCCTATATAGCCCATTATAGGGCTTACGGTTTAGGGATAGTAGTCATCCCTATACACAGTAACCAATTATAGCAGTTTCCATTTTCTTTTCCATTCCCTCATTCCCAGCTAACCAAAGCCCTAAACCCTAAATCCTAAACCGTAAACCCTTAGGACCCCGAGCGTCAGCTCTGCGAGGTAATCAACCAGGACACTGGGCTTTGTCATTAAGAATCCTTAGAGGGCTTGTTTAGGGTTTAGGGGTTTAGGCTTCAGGCTTTAGGCTTTAGGGGTTTAGGGTTTAGGGGTTTAGGGTTTAGGGGTTTAGGGTTTAGGTTGGCTTTTCTCCATGC